CAGCGATTTAATCGTCATCCCAGAGTGCGTAGCATTTCGTTGTCTCGAAGACCTCTGCCAGTGTTTGGCTGGGAGGGATAGTTAGCTCGCGATATAGGCCATGGTCGATTGGCAAACATTTCTTAAGAGTTGAGGAGGTGATTCGGTCATCGCACCCCATGATATCAGCTTTCTCTACTTTGAACCTTTTAATGTAATCTCAAAGGGACTCATCAGGCCTCTAACATAGGTTGAATAGGTGGTCAACTTGTTGCTTGATCATTCGGTAGGAAGTGTACTCCTTTGTGAAGACGAAAGCCAGTTCACTGAAGCAGTTGATTGACCCAGACGGTAGGGTATGAAACCAATCTTGAGCTGCTCCTCACAAGGTCATCGCAAACACCTTGCACATCAGCACATCCTTGGATTGGTAGAGAATCACGAGATCGGAATCCCCTTTGAATGGCGTGATCTCATTGGTGAAAGGAAAGGAGTTTACTTGGTCTACCTCCTTGCATAGGGCATCCTCCAAGTCTCCTCAAATATTCAAGTCTCGAAGTCGGTCATTCACGAGCTTCTCGACGTCTTCCACTCGCAAGGCTTGCAGCTTACGTTGATGTCTCCCATGACGCGAGCATCGCTGATCGACCTTCTCATTAACTCTCGGGGTTGATCCAGGAGGATCTACCAACAAAAAATAAACATTATATAATATAATTATAATTAATTATATTATATTATTAAATATTTAAAACCATAAAAACTAATGGTTTATAACAAATTGTTATAAACCATAAAAAGTTAACGGTTTCAAAATCAGTAAGATTTTAGGCCATTCATTCTTTATGGCTTAAAATAATTTACTATTTTAGTTTAGTTAATTTTAGCAACCGAACCTTGTATAAATACGTAAGTTATTCATTGAAATGAATCAAGCAATTCGGAAAGCAGAACTCATAACAGTTCCTTAGCTTCTTCCTTTTGTTTATTTAATTATCTTAAAATTCCTCTTGTTCCCAATTCATAGTTCTATCGACTAGAAGTTTTGGATCAGGGGTTGATCTCCTTGGTTGTCCTACCTGCATGGAGTATTAGTCGATTGAGCTTGCTAGGGATCCTCTGTAGCTTGTCCGCTTGGACTAGCTCTTCCAAAGAGAGCTGGTAAGCATCTTTCTTCACGTATCTCACGAGGAGGATTGCAAGGCTGATCTCTTTGGGACCCTAATCTCACATGAATACTTCTTTATGGCCCCAACTTCTCGTGCACATTGGTCCTTAGACCAAATCTCGATCGGAGACTCGATCTACTTTGAGCGTGGCTCATAGATGCTTGTGACATGCCGACGTGCTAAGCAGCACGCTATAGTCCTTCTCCTTGCTTGCTTGCTCCTGCTCGTTTTACATGGGACACCTCGAACTGCCTACTGGTGTGTTTGTCCATCCTTCTCTCTTTGCTATGAGATCCAAGGCCAAGGTCTCGGACCAAGTCAATCTACCTGAGGAACTATCCAACCAAGTTATTTTGATCATCTACTCTTTGAGTTAGCTGGTCGACTCTAAGGCTAAGGTTTGCTTGGTTGCGTGGATTAGAAGGAGAGAATTGTGTAGAGCCCAATTGCACGCAGGCTAGGATTTCATTGGAGGTGTACACGGAAGTAAACGTTGAACATGACGGCAAAGGAGGGAATGGTCACACTTGCTCCATGATTGTGCCGTAATCAGCAGTGGCACTATGATTGTGTGCCTCGAATTCAACTATCAGGTCCTGCAGCTACAAAGAGGTTTTGGCCACGGGGCCATGGGATGGAGTCACTTTGTGGGTTGGAATTGCACTCATGGCCACGGGGCTATGATGAGGAGATATGGCTTCGGCTGCGGGGATGAGCTATAACACAAGCTGGATCCTGTTCTTGGCCATAGGGCCATGAGGAGGAGGAGTTGTGATCTCAACATGGGAGTGCGGTAGATGGCTCATCGCCACATTGTCGTGACGGCTTGGTCCCGTCGCAGATTAGGTTTTCGCGGTGGACCTACTCCTCGTGCGTATGCTTTAAGTCATGAGGTCATTTGGAAGGTTTTGGTTGAGTGATGAATAGGAGGAAACATATTCTTTTGATTCAAGAACACACATTGAGTATAACTCGTGCTCTCAATGAAAGCACTAAAAATTTTGAGCAAAATTCCGCATGGGGAATATTCGCATGTAGATTCTTTGACCCTCAAACTTCCTTCCTCTTCTTCTCCCTTGATCCCTGCGAAAAAGACTGGAGTAAATAGACCACACTCGGGGGGTGTTGGCCAATTGTCCTCTGATGCCTAAGTCAATTAATTGGATCTTGAGAAAGATACGACAAGTAACAAAAAGGATGAAGTTTTCTCTTGCGGGCAAAGCCGGATGGTCGCTGTCATGTTTGGAGGCACGTAGCTTTGTGAGAAAGAGATAGAATGGAGAGAGGGAGAGAGAGAGAGAGAGAAATTCGGCATCAATTAGCTAAGGTTTTTAGAATTACCTCATATGCGTGATGTAGCCATGTATTTATAGTGCTCCTTGTCAGCTAGGGTTTGAAGAATAATCTTTATTTAATTAGGAGTATTCTTACCCAAAAATAGGAGATTGGAATTAATCAAGGAGATTTTGTGGAAATCTCATCCTTGATTTAGGGAGATATTTCCATCTTAAATCAATTATAATTTTTCTAATTAAATAAGATTTAATTAGGGTAACTAATTGACTTAGGGAATTTCCCTTTTCCACTTGTCACCCATTCATTGGTCGCCAAAATATATGCTCCCACAGCAGCTACCCTACATTTTCCTATCTAATTGCTCTCTCTTCCAGTATCTATGTTTTGGAGACTACTTCTCACAATTTTCTTTAGGCTTCCGCTCATTAGTACTGCAAGTAGCTGTGATTATCATATGTCAATCTAAGTTTGTTTTCTTCCTTCTTTGCGAAAAGAAAGTGAAGACGAACAAGAACATTACAAGAATCAGGAACTAGTCTTAGAGTCTAATATAAAGCTCGTTGACAATATTCTAACAAAGTCAGAGCCTAAGGAGCTGATGATTGAGAATCCTTTTTTGCTTAAGCTTAGGGAAGAGCTTGCAAAATTGTTTGAACAAGAAGAAGTAATGAAAGACACAAAAATTGATGAGGTTATCCTTTTGGAAAATCCACTTGCAAAGTGAGGCTTCTCAAACTGTGAGTAGGAAATAAGTCTATTAGAATCTAAAAAGGAGCTAGAAGACGAAGAACGGGCAAAGTTAAAGAAGCAAAGAACGAATTGAGTTTTGGGGAATGTTACCCTTTTGCTTGTGGGTAGTCGAAGTGTGTTGCCTTCTTTTTTTTTTTTTTTTTTTTTTCTTTCTTCGGCACAATCCAAATGTTACACTATAAACAAAAAGAAGAATTAGTGCTAGGTTAGACTAATTTCATGTAAAGAGATTTACAAGCAATGTTCCAAAGTATTTTGATGTTGGTTTACTTTGGAACATTAATATGATGCATTTAGTTCCTAATATGATGTTAACAGCATCAATGGACTTAGAGCAATGTCATTTTGGCTTTTATAAGTTGTGGTAATACTGTATCACCATATTGGATGATCTTTCATGGAAAGTTCGTTTAAACTAATCATTTAAGTTACCACAAAAGGGCAAATAGGTCAACATAGGTAACAGTCCATGTGTGACCATTGACCTATTTGACAAGTCCATGGATTTATGAGATAAAGAAAGTGATCTAAAGAGGTTAGATGCAAAGGGACCTTTCCCTATAACTCAAACTAAAATGTTCCTGATCATGGGATCGTTTGGGCATTGACAAACCGCAAAGACCGGTACATACTCTCTCTGCTCAATTAGGAGGATGATTAGTCTCGAGTTATTCGTGTGTGGACACTAAGATAAGTGCATAGGTTCTTGCTAGAGATTGAGTTCACTAAATGTGATCAAACTAAGGAATATTTGCTGGAGTCTGAGCACAATTGTGAAAGAGTCTTCCAATTGAGGGACACTGTTTAGGGTACCTTACAAATTTTTTTTTCCAAAGATCCAAACCATCTGTTTTTTAAGTCTACATTCACAGATCATCTTTGCAAAAAATTAGACAAATTGGAAACAATTTCGACATCCAATTGTATCCTACAAAATCAATGAACACAGAGCTTCAAGAAAGTACTAAAATTTCTATAACACAATTGAGTGGTAAACGATATTGGATTCAAGAGATTTTTTGTAGAAATGATCTTTGAATGATTATATAAAACATAGACATTTGGATTAGTAAAATACAATGTGGAGTGGGGCCCTACAAGGGTGTCCCTCAAATAATCTAATTTGAGAGATCCCTCCATGTAAGCTCTGTGTGTGTGTGTGTATATATATATATATATATTTATTTATTTATGAGAGGCTCCTCCCATTCTCACAAAACAAACTCATGTGCCGTATAAATAAAAGTTGTGAGGATGGGCTTCTAGTGACCATCCAGTTAGACCTGGCATTCGTGTCGTGTTATCAGTGTTCGTGTCAACTCGTTTTTCTTAACGGGTTGACACGATGCGACACGATAAGAAAACGGGTGGAAAATATCAAACACGAACACGACCCGCTACAATTCGCGAATCACACGATATGACCCGTTTCACCCGTTAAGAAAATAAACTTTTTAAATAAAAATTTAAAAAACCTATATTTTTTTAACAAATTTTAAATGCAAATAGTACATCCCCAAAAAATCAATATCATTCCAACAAAAGCTAAAATTCTTGAATTTAATTCAAACTTCAACATCCATGAACATGATCCATGATAACAAAAGGAAAAGTCTAAACAAATATGAAGTAACATCCATGAAGATCCGCATAAAAAAAAAAAAATCCATGAAGATGATCCAAACTTCAACATTTCACCAATTGCAATTTTCCTGGAAAAGAATTGATAGACAACTATGAGAAAAGTATACAATTATTGAGAAATATTACATTGATAAAATACCAATTACTCATCAATACCTCTCATCAATCTTCAAGAGAAATACTATTGGAGCTTTGTCTGGATCTAGTATCTTGACAAGTAAGTTTGAAGATATCTTCAGTAAGGCTTTCTACAGTAGCATTCTCTTCCTCCATAGCTAAGCATTGAAAACCCAAAAGTTACAAAACATTCACATAATGAAAAAAACATAAAATAAAACACTAGTTTTAAGTTATATAAAAATTTACCTCCCTTGCCAAAAAGCCAAGCTCGAGTACACAACAAAGCTTGAACAATTTCAGGCAATAATGAACTACAGTATTGATCAAGTACTCTACCACCAACACTAAAAGCGGATTCTGATGCAACCATAGAAATATGAATTGTTAATACATCACGAGCTAGATTTGAAAGTATCGGATAATGAAAATGCTCCATTTGCCACCAAGAAAGAACATGTATGTCTTGCTTTCTATCTAGTCTTTCCTCATCCAAATACTTGTGCAACTCATTTTTCCTACTTGTACTTGGACCATTTTTGTAACTATTATCAAAATCCTACATCATACAAAATGAAACATGCAAATATTAGAATTATGCATCATTGTAATATATAATATGCAACAATAAATATAAAAAAGAAAATAAGTTTGGGTTCCCTCAAAAATGGTGTCTCCATCTTCCGTATGACTAGCCCTCTCATTCATTCCATAATTCGAAGTAACAAGATGAGATAAATTTTCCGAGTACACATCAAAAAGAGATGTCAATGTGTCTCTAACATACTTGAACTCTTCAGAATCCTTACCATGAAGCTTGGTATAAGCACACTCCACAAAATGCAACTTATAACGAAAATAATTGCAATTGCAAGAATTAAACTGTACTCTGACCAATACTTCTCAAACTTCATGTTCATATTAGTTCCCATCTTGTTCATGAAACCATCATTATCTTCCATGGCTGCCTTAATTTGGTGTTGTATTATAAACACCTTAGGGAAGAATAAATTTGATGTGGGGTACTTTGTCCTAGAAAATAAGCATGTAACATCATAAAAGTACCCCAAAAACTTGGTAATCTTCTCTAGTTTAATCCACTCTTGAGTAGAAGCACAACTACTAAAATTGGAATCAATCAATCCTAAATTAATAAAAGCACGATGATAGAAAAGTGCACTCTCAAGCATGGTATAAGTTGAGTTCCATCTAGTAGGGACATCTTGTCTCAATCCTTTCTTACTACCCATTATCCCTACTTGTGCAACACATTCATAGAACTTTTGTTTCCTCCCCTCAGAACCCTTTATATATTTGATGCACTCACGGATCTTTATCACTGACGAATCAATTTCCTTAAGTCCATCTTGGACTATCAAGTTTAAAATGTGAGCACAACAACGCACATGAAAAAACTTGCCACTCATCAACAGAAGACCTCTAAAGTTCAATTGATTCGTCAAAATCTCAACAAAAGAAGTATTTGTAGAAGCATTATCCAAAGTAATAGAAAACAACTTCTTCACAATCCCCCACTCAGTTATTAATGCATTGATTTTTTCAGATAATGCAACACCAGAATATGGAGGAGGCATATGACAAAAATTTATAATTCTTTTGTGCAATCTCCAATCTTGGTCAACAAAGTGAGCAGTAAGAGCAAGATACCCATCAGTATATACAGAGGTCCATAAATCTGAAGTTAAACAAATTCTTCCATGAATTGAGCTTAACGAAGTATGAAGATTTTGTCTTTCACTTTTAAACATCCTCAACACACATGCCTTAACAGTATTTCTACATGGCAGCTTAATATCAGGAGAGACATATGCAAACAAAGCCCTAATTCCCTCATATTCAACAAAACTAAAAGGCAAATTATGCTTGATGATCGCCTCTTTTAACAAGTCACGAAATTTCACATAATCAAATTGCGGGGAACGCAATCCCGAAGATGACATAAGTAATTGTTTCACATCACCATGAGGCTTCTTAATGCAATTTTTAGAATGATAGTTGGTTCGTCGCAAATCTCGTGGCCTGGTGCTCTGGGCCGAGGGGATGTGCGTCAACACGTGACGTCCTTCTTTTGAATGCGGTGCGGTTGTGCACGGGCGTGCCAGCACGGTCTACCGTGCGTTGAGATGGTGATGAGGTTTGGGTAGAAGATGTTCAAATGATGCGCCTGTTTGGAGTTCGACTTCTAGTCAAACGATTGTGGCCAAGAGAGGAACTTATCTTGGCCGTCAGGTTCACGGCCTGAGCTACAAGGCCTTTTAGTGGTGGTGTTGGTGGATTTTGGGCGTTGCTCTGGCGCGTTGCTCGGAGAGCAACGGTCGTATGATATATGGGGTGAATGAGGCAGTAACAAGGATGATGCTCCGGTGCCTTGAGAAATCAAGGGTCGTATGATATATTGATGAATGGATTTTCCTTACAATCTGTCACTACTCCTAGGAAAGCATGTAAAGGTATTGAAAGTGCATTGCAGAAAATATAAGTTGCTCCGTGGGAGGATTTTGGTTTGGTGTTTGAACCCCTTGAACGTGGTCTTAAGTTCAGTATTTATAGGAGGAGTCCTGGAGGGCCAATCGAGGCTGAAAAAAGATCTGCCTGATGGCTTAAAAATACCTGTATGGTGGAGTCTGATCGGGGCAAGTGGGTAGTCAAATCGGCATTTGGGACCGTGAAGCATGGTGGTCTGGGTTGAGAAGCATGGTGGTGTGACCCCCATAAATCTCGGCAAATCTCGGCCACCACCCTGATCGTGGGCTCTGCCCCCTTGGCCGTGGGAACGCATTTAATGCTCTGGTCCAGTGGTTGGTGACCTGACCTCAAGCTGTGAGAATGCTTTGTGAGAATGTTTGCCCCTAACCACTCTGATTCCTATTACCAAATCCTGACTTCAATCACTTCCCTTCTGCCCTCGTGCATTAAATGCTTTTTGCACCCAGTGGTTTTGCTGTGGCGGTCAAAGGCACTACTTCATTAAATGGGGCGTGGGACTCTGAGGCCACGTGGCGATTTGACCACAGTATCTTCGGCCGGGTCTTTCATGGACCTCGGCCTCGGCCCATAATGCTGTGGTTGTGAGGCCGAGAAGATCCTGTCTTCGAATTTTCTTCTGCTTTCGAAAAGGCTAAATTTCTGACGAAACGTGGCCGTTTCAGTCCATGAACAGGTGCCACGGCTGAGAAGAGGTCCCTTCTGACGACCGTGATTTATTAGGCACAAACATTGCCCCCACATCCTTGGATTCTTCGGTCGCGGCTTGGGCAGAGGCCGAATGGATTCCAAGGGATGGACTCTCCGTCTTCTCTTCGAAGTGATCGACAGCTGGCGTCTTAAATGCGAAGGTCAATCGACACATTGAATGCTCAAGCACGCCTTGCAGACCATCATCGCACAAACCGCCGTTTATCTCGTTAAATGGAACGATGGTTTCCGAGCTTTCGCCACGTCATCGCGTGTGAACGTGTGGTCAGACCGCTCCATTTCTCGAGAGAGCCATGCCCTTTCGTTTCATACTCGTGTCAATATAAAAACCTGGCCCTCTTCATTCTTTTTACTCCTCCTCCTTCATTCCAACCTGCTCTAGTGGTCTCTCCCTTGTAGCCTCTTTAGAACCAAGGCTGAGCCATATCCACGGACCCCTACGTCATGGCCTGATCCAAATGGTTTTCTCTCTCCTGCTGTCCAACAACTATCCTTCGTTCTAGAACGTCGATGTAGGCCAAAGCCGTGGTGTGGCCGAGATTCCTTTCCGGCCCTGGGGGAGAATGATCTCCCTTTGTATGAGGCCGTGGAGAGATCGCAATGTGATCGACGATTCCAACTCGGCCATGTCCGCTTGGCCTAGCATCTTGGTTGTATCTATGACCAGGGTGACGACCCTGGTTTCGCCCAACCACAGTTGTGTTCAGAATGACGGCCCTGGCCATGGCCAGAGCGACGGCCTTGATTGCGAACTGGTCTCACCCATGGCCAGAGTGACGCCCGCACACATAGTTAGAATGACGGCCCTGATCTTGGCCGGCTGTACCCGTGTCCCGAGTGACGGCCCTGGCTGTGTTCGGAATGACGACCTTGATTGTGACCTGGTCTTACCCATGTCCAGAGTGGCGTCTGCACTCATGGCTGGAGAGACATCCCTGATTTTAGCCGGCTGCACCCATGTCCTGAGTGGCGACCCTGGCCATGTCCGGAATGACGGCCTTGATTGTGACCCGGTTTTACCCGTGTCTGTAGTGACGGCTCTGCCTACGGTCGCGGCTAGTGAAACCGTAGGCGGTGTAGGGACCGCCTAGGGAAGAGTCATCCGCTTGTTTGAGCAAAGGGGGTCAAGAAGCGGCCGTTCATAGATCTAGGATGCATTTCACTTTTTGCATATGTATGTTTATATGTTCCCTTTGGCCACGACCGACCGTTCTTTTTGTAACCGTGCCCCCGCTCTTTTTAAATGAAGTACAACCCTTTTTCTTATAACCGAATGTGTGGTTTTTTATTTTTATATTTTTTGATCTCATAACCCATTCTCGGCCGTCTCCTATAATGACGGGGCATATTTCTTCAAATATTGGCCGTTTATTGGCAAGTTGTGCAATTCCCCATCCCCATCTCTTAACTAAAATGCGCTTCGACCAAGGATTCGATCGATAATAAATGGCCCTTCCCAATTGGGTGAGAATTTGCCGAACCGAGGGTCCTTAGTTCCGATAGGAAGTACGGCACGCCACACCAAGTTGCCCTCGGCGAAAGTCTTTTGCTTCACTTTCTTGTTGTAGGACCTCGCTGCGACCTGCTTTTGTGCCTGCATTAGGTTATAGGCGTCAAGCCTGGATTGCTCCAAATCTTCTGACTCCTGAGCCATGGCCTGCGCATAGTCCTTCTCCTCCTGCCCAGGTCGTTCGGTCACACAGGGCGACTGAACCTTTAGCTCCATCGGAACAATGGCATCATGACCGTAGGTTAAGGCATAGGGGGATGTGCCAGTAGCTGATCGTTTCGAGACTCGGTAAGCCTAGAGGGCCTCAGGGAGTAGGTCGTGCCACGCCCTAGGTTTTTCCCCAATCATCTTCTCAAGGATACCCTTGATGACCTTGTTGCTTGCCTCGGCCTGTCTGTTAGCTTGTGGGTAGTAGGGCATCGAGTGGACCAATTTGATCCCCATCCTTTCGGCGTATTCTCGAGTCTCGGCTGATGCGAATACCGGGCCGTTATCAGCCGTCATGGTTTCGGGTATACCGAATCTGTGGACGATGTGATTTTCGAAGAATCTGACCACCTGCGCGCTAGAAATGGACTGATAGGACTCCGCCTCGACCCATTTAGTGAAATAGTCAGTTGCTACTAAAACCCAGGCGTGCTGGTTGGACGCGGCTGGGTGGATTTTGCCGATGATATCCACGGCCCATCCCCTGAACGGCCAAGGTTTAGTAACTGGGTGGAGGGCGTCGGCCGATACCCTTTGTATGGGGCCGTAGATTTGACACTTGATGCACCCCTTCGCATATTCTATGCAATTCTTTAAAATGGTCGGCCAATAATAGCCGTACCTCCGGACCAACCATCTCATCTTAACGTCGGACTGGTGAGCGCCGCAAATCCCCTTGTAGGATTCGGCCATGATAACCTTGATATCTTTGGCGCCGGAGTATAGGAGTAATAAATCGTCCGATCCTTTTCGGTACAGGTCGTTCTGATAAATTAAATAACATCGAGCTCGGAAGCGAGTAGTCCTTTCGTGGTTGTCGAAGGGCTCGCGCAGATACTTCACGATGGGGTAACGCCAGTCGGCTTCGGCCGCTTCGACCTCGCTGGTAACCTCGGCCGATGATACCTGCGCCTTCATTCCCTGCTCGGCCAAAGCCGACAGGGTGCGCTTCTCGATTCTTATTACTTGGTCACGGTCGCCGTTTGGAATGTTCACACCTGACGCTACCTGGGCCATCTCATTGGCTTCATGGTTTTTGGCGCGTGGCACGTAAACGAAGGAGATCCTAGAAAATTCGTCGGCCGTATTGAGGGCCGTTACATAGTACAAGGTTAAATTTTCGCTCGTGCATTGATATTCCCTGGTCAGTTGGTTAATTACTAGTTGAGAATCATCGTAGACCAGGACACGGGTCGCCTTCATTCCTTTAAGAATTTCAAGACCGATGATGAGTGCCTCGTACTCTGCCTGATTATTGGTGCATTTGAAATCAAGCTGGAACACAAATTGCCACCTTTGTCCTTGGGGGGATTCGATCACGACCCCGGCCCCTGACCTGGTCTCGGTACTGGAGCCATCGAAGTACATGGTCCAGTAATTTTTCTCCATGTGGGTCATGTCGATCTCAACCTCCAACTCCCCCTCTTGCCCCTGAACCGGGTGGTGGGCCAAGAAATCGGCCAATGCCTGGCCTTTGACCGATTTCTGGGCTACATATTGGAAGGTGAATTCGGACAATGCCGAAATCCCTTTTCCGATCCGGCCGTATATGATCGGCCGAGTAAGCATGTATTTGATGAGGCCGGTCTTGGAGATGATCTGAACGACCGAATGAAGCATATAATGGCGCAACTTGGTAGCCGCGAAATAAAGCGCTAAGCATAACTTCTCGATTGGTGAGTAGTTGAGCTCGGCCATGTTGAGGGTGCGGCTCAGATAATGCACTGCTTGCTCTCGCTCAGATTCGTTGTTCTGGGCCAGCAGACAATCGATGGAGCCCTCTGGGCCAGCTGTACTTCGGTCGAGAATCACCTCGGCGGCTATTGGAAAGGTTTAAACCCCTCCCTAATTTTTAATTCGTGCTCAACCAAACCTCTTGGTAATCCAGGCATCTCATGATAATCCCAAGCAAAACAGTCTTTATATTCGTGGAGCAGGCCGATAATTTCAGCCGCTAACTCAGGATTGAAAAGCTGGCTTACAAAAAGAGGCCGTGGTTCGGCCTCGGTCTCGACATTTATTTCTAATAACGGGTCCTGGACCTCGGGGTAATCATCCTCCATCTCGGCGGGCGCCGTCTCCAAATCGTCAATGGTTAGAGTGTCTGCCTCATCCGATTCGTGGAGGAATTCGATAAGGTTGATCGGTGAGTTCGGTTGTAAGGATTCCCCCGTCCAATGTTCCAGCAATCTTTCCAGCAGGACGGTTACGGCTGCCGCTCCCTCTCCCTTAGAGGTTTTGTCTGTCATTTAAAGGGTGGTGAGGTCAATCAACACTTCGCACGCCGAATCCTGTCGAACATTCTTGGCGCCTAACTCCAACACTTTCTGGGCCGTTGTCCTGATTGGTCGGCCGCTCGCATCGTGGCCGGTGAGGACAACCCATCCGACGTCGTCGTCATAAATCCGTGCTTGCACAGCGTTGTTTTCAAAGGGTTTTTCGTCCGCCGGGTGTATGGATACCCTCTAGCCGTCCCAGAAGAACAAAAGTTGGAAGAAGGAGGACGGTATGCACCCGGACTGATGGATCCAGTCACGGCCGAGCAGTATATTGTAGTCCACGCTGGATTCGACCACGTAAAATGCCGCGACTCTCGTCTGGTCGGCCACGGTGATTTTTAGAGGCAGTACCCTGATGGTTTTAGATTTGTCGCCGACAAAGCTGCTCATGACCACGTCACTGGGGATGAGGTCCTCTCTCGTCTTGCCCAGCCTCCTCATTAGCGAACAGGGAAGGACGTTGACCATCGCTCCGCAGTCAAATAAGACCTTGGATATGGGCACACCTTCGACATGGGCTGAGATGCACAATGGCTTGATGTGTCGGTATTTGTTTGGCTCGTCTCTGGGTATTACCTCGTTAAAAGCCATGGCCAACAACTCTTCCTTTGTTTTCGGCCTTTGACCAAGCTGTTCTTTGGCCACGTCGTTATCGAGGCCGTCGGTCTGGCCTCCTTTGGCTCCTGTTGGGTCTCTCTACCAGCTTCCCCTCCGGCCTCACGACCGCTCCCGACGAGGGTTCCTTTTTCAACCATCCTGAGGACCCCCTCGTATTCCTCGTCAGAGATTCCCAGTGTGAGGTCGTCCTCGGCCTCATGTCCGAAGAAAGGATTGCCGCAGCCCTCGACCATAGGCCTTGCCGTCCCCGGGGTTCTGTTTGCAGCCGCTTTGGTCTCAGGAGGGTCCGAGGCCTCGGTCTCTTCCTCGAGGGCTCGCCTAACTTCCGCCAATGCGTCCCTGGCCATTAGATAATCGTCCAGACGACTCACCCGGGCACTCTCCTCGATCGTTAGACCGAAGAGAGTATCGACCGGAGTCACAGAGAAATACTGGAGGAGGTATTCTAAGTCGCTCCTGCCGAAAGGGGCCTTATCCTCCAGTCTTCCCTGATCGGGTTGGTAACCTGGCGTCCCTCTTGCCTTGGCCTCTCGGTTCGCCTGGTATACGGCCTTAATGGCTGAGTCGGATCCCCTGGTAATGAGGAGAACTTCTGCCTTAGCGTTCTTGAGAGCCAGTTCCACAATTTCACGGTTCTCAGGGGTTAGGCCGTATAGGTCGATGGCCGAGTGGTCTTTATGGAATTCCCTGAGGAAGGATAAACCGTTGGCTGAAAAAGGGGGGTCCCTTCCGTGATAGACGTCGATGATACCCTCGTCGGTCTTCCCGAGGGTCGTGGTTTTTGACTCAGCCGAAACGACCCCCTCTCCACGAAGTTCAACGTCCCTCCAAGGGCGCCATGTCTTTGGGGGCCTGATGTTGGCAACCTTTGCCGTGTAGACAATTGGCGCGGATGATGGCTCGTCTATGGTTGCCACCTTCTTTTGGCGTTTGGGTCCCTCGGCCTGGGGCGTCTGTATTCTGGCCTGCTGAGCCTGTCTTTGCATTCTCCACAGCTGGGTTCGTGTCAGCAGCTGGACACTGCCCCCAGGTTGTGTGTGATACCAACGGTCGTCCGGTACGACCGGTGGTTTGAATGTCTTCAGCGGCCTAGGAGTGGCTTCGTTTTTGTGGCCCACCGAGGTACTGGGGTTTTGTGCCCTTAATCGGTCAAAAATGAGGCCGCGTGCTGGCGGTCGGTCGTACTGGCCGCCGAATTTCTTTACAGTTGGTTGGGATGGCTCGGCGGCCTTCCTCTTGTTCTCTAGCGGCCTGGGGCGACCGATCTCATACTTGCACTGACTGCACAGCACTGGTCCCGGTTTGGCCAACGACTCATTTCCTTTGGCCGGTCGGCGTTCCTCCCTATATTCAGCCCGGAGCTGGGCGTTCACCATGTTGATGACAGGTGAAGGGAAGGGCTTGGAGTCGACCTGCATGGCCGTCTTCTCCGGGAACTGGAGCTTCTTCTCGTCTATCAATGACGTCTCGCAGAACAACGCAGTTGTTGGTGTTGTGAGACCAAGAATTGTGGTATTTGCAGAACGTCTTTCCTTTAAGCTTCTCAGGTTTCGGGATTTTATGGCCGAAGGACAACTTGACCTTTTTCTCAGACAATAGCAGGTCAAAGATTGCCTCGGCCCTGGTCAAATCAAAAGTGTAGGCCTTCGTTTCTCGAGTCGCGAATTTGGCGTCGGGAATCTTGGTGCGACTGTTGTCGGCCTTGACAAGCCCTTTGCAGACAAATGGCTTGTCTATGCTGACTTCGGCTGAGCTCATCTCAACTTCATCGCCCTCGGCCCCTACGGGATTGTCTGCTTCGGCATAGCTGACAACGGGATTCTGATAGTAAGTCCCTTTTGAAGCCGTCTTCTTCTGCACCTCTTCTTTCAGCAAGGATGCATATCGGTCCACTTTTTTGATCAGGTCGTGCATGTCCCGGGATTCGATCCCCTGGAATTTCTTCCGGTATTCGAATTCCAACCCTTCTTCGGCCATCTTGACAAATTCCCTCTCCGGTAGGTTTGTGCGACACCAATTCCTACACGTTTTGAACCACGGCAGGTAGTCGTGAGGTGACTCGTCCAACGCCTGGCTCATCCTTATCAGCTCGGCAACCGTTATTTCTCGATTGGTCTGGTAGAAATGTTCGTGGAGTATCCTTTCCATGTCAGACCAATCCCTCACCGAATTTGGCGGAAGGTTTATGAACCATGAGAAGGCCGCGCCGGTCAGAGTGAACGAATAAACGGAGCTTCTGGGCGTCCGAATCGGCCTCCCCGCACTGGGCCGTGAAGCTGCCTATGTGTTCGATGGAGGAGGTCTGCCTATCCCCAGAGAATAGAATGAATTCTGGCAACCGGTAGTTCCGGGGAAGCGGGGTTCGGTCAATTTCTGGCGGGTATGGTTTGGTATACCTTGGCGCTTCCGGGCGCCTCTGAGCCAGGCCGTCCTTGATCATTCGTCGGACGTCTTCGAATCGAAGCCCCTGAGGGGGTGCCTTTTGCTGGGCCGCGACTACCCGTGGGACTTGTTGCCCCTCGTTCTGCGGCCTTACCTGCTGGGCCACTTGTACGGGGGGTTCGGCTGTTGCGACCGAGCTGGGTGGTACCAGACATGCGCCGTATGTTTGACCGGGGTTCGTATGGCTCGTAGTTGGAATGGCTGAACCGTACTGAAGATGGGAGCCTAACTGCAATAACGACGTATGTAACGGTGAAACGGTCGGATTGTTCTGACCATATTGCTGTGATGAAGTAGCGGTCGAGTTGTTTGGGCCGGGATGGGTCTGGACGGCCACGGTGTGGACTGGGCCGAGTTGTTGGACTGCGGACTGTGCGAGCTGCTTTGCCCCAATGACATGGCTAAAGCATGGAGTGGGCCGTACGTCGTTTCTGCCAGGTAGGTCGGTTCGGGATTTACCCATGTTGACTGAGACTGCCACCAGCTGTTTGTCGGCGGCTGTGAATGCTGGCCGTAATTTGACGCTTGGGTGCGGCCAGAGATGCTGAGGCTGCTGCTCTCGCTGTGGGGCTTGAACCTCTCGCGCTCTTGGCCTCTCTGTCCGGTTCTGGGAGGCGTTGCGAACGATGTCACCGGCATCCTTTCCTGAAAAAGTGTCCGTAGCTCCGAGGAGAATCTATCCATTGCGGCCATGAAGGATGTTTCGATCCTGTAGGCCTACTTCACCATCAAATCTTCAACGACGGCTTGTTCTCCCATGGATTTGGCCCTGCGATCTGCCATTATCGGACCGCTGGTTGAGGTTCTGACCGCGTGTTCGGTCTCGGTGACAGTGATTGGTGAGGTGGACTCAGGAGCCTCGGAAGTCATTTTGATTGTTTTGTTTTTGAGCTTTTCCTGTGCCCTGGTTTCCACCATAAGTTTTTACCAAGTGTCCCACCGGGCGTGCCAAAAGTGTTGGTCCGTCGCAAATCTCGCAGCCTGGTGCTCTGGGTCAAGGGATGTGCGTCAACACGTGACGTCCTTCTTTTGGATGCGGTGCGGTTGTGCGCGGGCGTGCCAACACGGTCTACCGTGCGTTGAGATGGTGATGGGGTTTAGGTAGAAGATGTTCAAATGATGCGCCTGTTTGGAGTTAGACTTCTAGTCAAACGATTGTGGTCGAGAGAGGAACTTATCTCCGCCGTCAAGTTCACGGCCTGAGCTGCAAGGCCGTTTAGTGGTGGTGTTGGTGGATTTTGGGCGGTGCTCCGGAGCGTTGCTCGAAGGGCGATGGTCGTATGATATATGGGGTGAATCAGGCGGTAACAAGGAGGATGCTCCGGCACCTTGAGAAATCAAGGGTCGTATGATATATTG